CGCAGCCATGCCCTAAGAGGCCCCGGGTCTCAGTGTCCCAGTAATTGCTGCAAGCAGCTCTGAGAGAAAGCTGCCCTAGAGTTCCACCCCATGACAGACAGTCCGATTTCTCCTTGTATGAGTTCGGGTCCCCAGAGACTCTCCCGGAACTGGACTTCAGAGCCCTCGGGAGCTTGTGTTTCCCTCCCGATTGAAAAAGACAACGGCGTCCTCAGTTGCCAGCCCTTTTGGCGTGCGCCTCTGTACCTCTGCACTTTACTTCTGCACCTCCTCTGAGTCTCAGTGTGCTTTTCTCTTTCCTTCTAGTTGTAGAATTTCCACTCAGCCAGCCTTCCTGTGGTTCTGGATGATGTCCATTTTGTCTTTTAGTTGTGTTTTTGAAGTGGTTGTATGAGGCAGCAATTTCTGTGCTTACCTATGCCGCCATCTTTGTTTCCCTCATTAATTTTTTTAAACCACTTGTATTAAATTGCTAGGGCTGCCATAACTAAGTACCATTGACTGAGTGGCTGAAGCTACAGAAATTTTTCTCTCAGTTCTGGAGGCTGGAATTCTGAAATAGATGTTAGCAGGGTTAGTTCCTTCTAAGGACTGTGAGTAAAAGATCTGTCCAAGGAGTCTCTCTTTGGCTTATGAATGGCCATCCTTATGTTCACCTGGTGAAATCCCTATATTCATGTCTTTGCCCAAATTTCTCTGGTTTAGAAGGGCACCAAATCACAATGGATTAGAAGCCCATCCTATGGCCTTATGTTAACTAATTACAAATGCAAGAACCCCACTTCCAAATAGAGTCACATTCTGAGGATCTGGAGGTTAGAATTTCAATATATGAGACACAATTCAACTCATAACACCAGCTTTTATTTTGTTTTCTCTGACTCCTCTCCCATGAGAAATGTACTGAATATATGACAAACTCTGAAGAGGTCTGCTAATTTTGCTATGTCATTGTTAAAATGTGCTACTGGCATTACATGTATACTTAAATTTACACAAGAACTATGTTCTTTAAAAGTTGGGCTACTCAAAGTTTTGCTAATTTATTTTTTTTAAAGGCACATAAGAATATGCCAATTAAAGTAGCGCTTTTAAAAATCCTTGTGTAAACTTTAGAATCTTTCTGTTAAAAATAATTATTCTCTTGTACTAATCTTGAAACTTCAATTCAGATTTTCTTGAAAGCAGGGCATTTTTAAACTAGAAATTATTCTATGGTGAAGACAAATTCTGAACAGATATGAGGAAAAATTTTGGACCTCTAGGCAAATCCACAATAATGAACTACAGAACAAAAGAGAAGTTTTACTGGAAAGTATAATTATGTGTACCAAAGTTTAAGCTTCAAAAATTTAGACTAAATAAATAAAGAAAACCCTAAACCTTATATTTGAGATGATGGTGCAGGTCCAAATTCCAAATTAATTCAAAATATATTAATTAAGATTTCACAATGTGTTAGAGGCTTTGATTTATATATAAAGACATAGACCTTGTCTTCAAAGAGCTCATAGTCAAGTTATAAAGATGTGTAAATAAATAGCTCTGATAAAAGTCAGCCTGTATTAGGAGTAACCATGGACTCAAGATGTGTCTAATTTTAAAATATTGTCCCAAAATTCCTGTATTTTCACATTAAATTTATATGTCCTGATTCTTCCTTCCTCTTGCCCTCCTTCTTTTCCTTCCTTCCTTCCTGCCTTCTTCCCTCCCTCCCTCCCTCCTTTTATTCTTTCACTATAGTCATTTTTTCATATTATAAATACTAGTCCTATATTTGTTATATACATTGAAGTTTCCCAAATTGTCTTTTGATTTTTTCAAGATTTTTTTTAAAAAACCAGAGTTTGTACTAATACCTCTCCATGGGTTTGTATTCTCTAAGCATCAATTTCTCTATATCATAATGGAAATAATTATAGTATTTCTCACAGAGCAGAACATTTTCAAAAGAGCTCATGTGCTTATAATAATATCTGGCATAAGTATTATGTGATCTCCCCTCTTCTGATTATTAGAGATCTTCTGTTTTTATTCCTAAGCATTTTCTACTTTTCTGGCTATTACAAACTATAGCTGCTTTGGAAATATTTTGATAATGAGTGTTTGGAATGGAGGGAATGTTATTTTACTGTCATATTGTCATGATTTCGTATAACTGAAAATATTCAAAAAAGTTAAATTGTTATTTCTAGATGCCTTTCATATTGCATGAACAATCTGCCACATGCTGTTCCTTCTGCTTATTTTCACTAATCAAACAAGAATTTATTACATAACCAACTTCCACAGATTACTAAACAAAGGAACACCAGTCTTCAGTGTTTTTCAACCACATTAGAGGAAGTCATCTGATAAATTGTGTTTGATTCTAGGCATGTGAAGTGAAGAGGATGAGAATCACAGCAACATTTTGTAGTTGTTCCAAATTACCAAATGTATTTTGATCTTAGCTTTTCCATGACATGTAACCAGATTATGTAATTGTAAATCCTTAAAAACATTTTTAGCTATGATAATAACATAATTCAACAACAATAACAACAACAAAAATACGGCAATTTCCTTGGCCAGGATACATTGACTGAAAGGAATTCAATGGTTCTAATAGATTTAGGTAGATAGGCAAATATAAATGATTGCTGAATGTTGTAAATGTAAATACAGTAGTCCCTCTTACCCCTGGGGGATATGCTCCAAGACCCCCAGTGATTACCTGAAACCACAGAGGATACCAAACCCTATACATACTATTTTTTCCTATACATACCTATGACAAAGTTTAATTTGTAAATTAGGTACAGTAAAAATGAACAATAATAAAATAGAACAATTATAACAATATACTGTAATAAAAATTAATGTGAATGTGGTATCTCTTTCTCTCTTAATTATCATATTGTACTGTACTCGCCCTTCTTCTGATGATGATGATGTGACATGATACAATGCCTACATGATGACATGAAGTGAAGTGAATGGTGTAGATCTTTTTGGACCAGGATTGACTGGGGGTAACCAAAACTGCAAAAAGTGAAACCACAAGTAAGAGGGGACAGCTATGTATCAGCTGCAGCATTAGTAATATGCAGTTTTGAGGATGTGTATACATAAATTATAACAGTAAAATAAAATAGAGAACTAAAGCCATTTAATTTATTTTTTAAAATATTTTCTTGATTTTTAGAGAGAGAGGGAGAAAGGGAGAGAGAGAGAAACTTGAAGAGAGAGAAATAGATTGGCTGCTTCCTGCACACTGCCTACTAGAATGGAGCCCACAACCTGGGCATGTGTCGTGTCTGGGAATCGAACCAGTGACCTCTTGGTTCTTGGGTTGAAGCTCAACCACTGAACCACTCCAGCTGGGAAAAATAAAGCCTTTATTTTTTACAAAGCCCACACCTCTCTCTCCATTTGCTTACATTATCTGACCCCTTCTTCACTTCCCATTACATATATCAACATTTAGAAACATAATTATATACATGGATATTTGTTGATTATATATGTTGGACCATAACAACTCCTTTGTTCGTTTCTGATAAATATAGTCAAAGGAAAATAACCATTTAACTTCTCTCTTTCAGGAGCTTCTGGGACATGCTTGGAAGAATTATACTGCCATTCTTTTCACCCATGCAGAAAAAATAGAAGAGGCTGGGTTCAGTGAAGCTGAATACTTACACGAGGCCTCTGATACATTGCTGACCCTACTAAACTCTATTCAGCACAGATATATTTTCCAGCATAAAAAAGGAACCTCGCTTAATGAACAAAGAATAAAAGTCTTAGAAAAAATAATGGAATTTATAAGAGAAAATAGCTACCAAGTTCTTACCTTTAAATAACATTTAGATAAAAGGAAAAGAATATTGGGTTTTAATACCAGAAACTTGGTTTCAAAAGGGTCTTTGTTAGAATGGATGTGGACCATGAGAATGCCAATATCCTGACAGTGAAAGTGTACACTGGTATACACACTATGGAAATTACCCAAATGTTCATCAACAGTAGCATGGATAAGAAAATACTGGTATTTCACACAATAACATGTTATATGGTAATGGGAATGAATGAACTGCATGTAACAGTATCAATAAATTGCCTAAACATAATGCTGAAAGCAAGAAGCCAAACATACTCCATAAGTGTTGTCACAAACTTGATTTTCAATATTTGAGTACCTTTTACATATATTCTTGTCTTTGATTGGTGTTTTCATCTTACACACCTATTGCTAACAACAATTTGATCAATGCAAAGTCATATCTTACTGTTACCTTAATGTCCATTTCCCAGACTACTACTGAATCGAAGTACTTTTTTATAAGCATGTTGGTCATTAGTTTTGCTCTTCTATGAATTGCCTCTTCATATTTGTTGTACTTTTTCTATTGGATTACTTCTCACAAAGATTCTGTGTTTAACCAAAACTTTAGAAAGGCTCCTGAAACTTCTCCAGGCCCATCTGTGCCTTGTAAAATCTAGTTTTAGCAAGAACCAGGATGCTTAAACTAAGTCAGTTTAACAAGAATCCTCTACCTTCTTTTTTGGATTGGATTTCTCATCCTCTACTATCCCCCTGGTGATGTTGGATCACCCTTGCTTGTCTGCGGCAAAGATCCTGTTAGGTCGATGTGGCCAGATTCCCCTGACCCTTGAAGCTTCCTCTTGGTAACTGTCTATCCACAGATCCCCACCCCTGCTACTTGGCTATAAATTCCCACTTCCCATACTGGGCCCAATCTATCTCCCCACTGTAAAATCCCATTGTGGTTCCTATATTTATCTTGGTATTATCATCAGGTCTGCCTTACCAACTTTAACAGTGCCACTGAATATATTTTTCTTGAACACCTCCTGCTTGGCAAATTGGAAGAGCTCTATCTAATCTAATAAAAGACAAACATGCAAATTGACCATACCTTCACTACGCCTTAAGTGACGCCCACCAGCCAATCAGAGCGACTAAATGCAAATTAACCCAACCAAGATGGTGACCAGCAGCCACGGAGCTGGAGTGAGCAGGAGGCTTGGTTGCTCCAGTGATGGAGGAAGCCAAGCTTCCTGCATGGTGTGGCCAGCTCTGAGCTCCACTGAAGGCAACAAAGTTTCAATTATAGAAGATAAATAAACCCCAGATACCTGCTTTCAGCCGGTTGTGGCCACGGAACTGGAGCAAGCAGGAAGCCAAGCTTCCCGCCTGCCACAGCTCAGGAT